TTCCCAACACAGCTGCCATCCCAGTTAGCCTCTGTACTTCCTTTACTATCCGAGGTGACTTTAGTTCTGTAATCGCCTTCACCTGATCGAGGTTTACCTCTATATCTCGGTGTGTGATCAGGAATCCAAGAAATTTTCCCGATCCGACCCCAAATGCACACCTTAAAGCGTTTAATTTCATCTTGTACCTTCGCAGAACATCGAATGTGATTCTCAATTCATAGCAGTGACTATTGGTCCTTCGACTCTTCACAACTATGTCGTTGATATAGACCTCTATAGTATTGCCTATCATGTGTGAGAACATCTTTGCGACCAACCTCTGATATGTCATTCCTACGTTCTTCAACCCAAAAGGCATCACCCTATAACAGTATATCCCCTCAGGTGTTATAAAAGTGATTTTTCCTTGATCCTCCTCGACAAAAGGAATCTGGTGGTATCCTTTGTAGGCATCTAAAAAGCTCATTTGCTCATGCTTTGCAGTTACATCTACAAGTTAGTCTATCTTAGGTAGGGGGAAGTTGTCTTTAGGACAGACCTTGTTGAGGCCGGTAAAATCAACACAGACTCTCCATTTCCCATTCTTCTTTTTAACTACCATAGTGTTTGACAGCCAGGTCGGATATTGAACCACCCTAATTGCTTGGGACTCAAGCGGACCTGCTACTTCCTCTTTTACCGCATCCTGATGCTGAGGTGCCAACCTCTTGAGCTTTTGCTTGACTGGCTTAACGCTAGGGTTGATGTTTAACCGATGACATGCCATTTCGGACGGTATACCAAGCATATCACTCGTGCTCCAGGCAAAAATATTGTCATATTCTCGTAAAATGGTACAAGCTCTTTTTTCTGCCCGGGAGTGAGGGCTGTTCCCAACATTAAGTACTTTTCTGAGTCTCCATCCTTGTCTAAAGATACTTTAGTCAAGTCTTCTATTGTTCGGTCTGTCACTTCCTTTTTCGTGCCTAAATGTACTTTAGGGATTTTCATGACAGCTTGTTCGATAGAGTCGACTGAGTTGTCAGGTGTTGATTGCTATTTGGCCTTTTTGGCTGTTGGGCTCCTCTATTGAACTTCTATTCTGTCTTTGGGTTTGACCGAGGCCAGTAAACACGTTCTGGAACTAACCTGGTCCCCTCAGATGTTTACTAGTCCCTCCGACGAAGGGAATCTCAGCATCTGGTGGTAAGTTGATGGTACCGCTTTCATGTCATGTAACCAGGACTGGCCCATTATCGCATTATAAGCCAAGAATGTATCGACTACCAAGAATTTGGTTATTATACAAACTGGTCCAGTTTTTACAAACAGTGTGATCCTTCCCCTAGTAAGAACTGTTTTTCCACTAAAACCAATCAGTGGTACATTTGAAGGCTTCAGATTCGTCTGCTTGAGGCTGAGCTTTTCGAAGAGATCCATGTACATTATTTCTGAGGAACTCCGTGGATCGATCAGAACTCGCCTCACATCGTAGTTGGCGATCCTGAGAGTGACGACTAACGCATCGTTGTGTGGACGATGAACCTCGACCAGATTCTACTCGGTGAAGCAAATAGCCTCGGCTGATTCCTCCATCTTAATTCTTTTGTTCCTCACCTTCAGGGTTAATCGCAATTGGTAGACTTCCCTATCTTTGGCGGCTTTTTGAATGTACGACCTCACAGCATTATTCGTTGACATTTGTGGATTCGTCGTAGCGTGTATTACATCTATCACCCAACTGAGGTGTTTTGATCTACTTTTGGTTTGGTTCTCCCTCCATTGGTCCTTGCCCCACCTTCGATGAACTCGACAAGATGCCCAACCTAGACTAGTTCCTCTTAGTGTTGCTTCAGAGACTAACAGTTCTTGATCATATGACCCACATCTCGATGATATGAACATCTTTAGTTTGGGTTCCTTTTCAAAGGATCCCCTGTTAACTTGTTGGGCCACTTAAAAAATGGCTTTGCTTTGATCTGATTCAATATCTTGTAAATTGGTTCTTTAAACAACGTGTTTACCCCGAGAAAGGGGACTTCTGGGGGTAACCTTCCTTCTCATTCCTCCTTCCGACCTCTTTGCTCAGTTAGGACTGCTTGTCACGACCGAACTGCTTCCTGACTTGATGTTCTTTTATCACATCTCTGGATAAGTCATCATAGACTTTGACATATTTCTAGATTCTAGCCATCAATTCTTCCAGATCAGTGGCTGGCCTCCTAGTAAGTGATTGATACAGAGGGTTCTCCTTTGGCAACCCGATTTTGAAAGACAAGATTACAATTTCGAGATTACATCCCTCAACCTCATTCATCGTCTCCCAATAACGATGAGCATACTCTCGCAAAGTTTCATTATTTTTCTTCTTCAAAGTCAACAGAACCCCAACATCTTTAGGCTGTTTACTACTCGTAATGAACCAAGCTGTAAACTGCTCGGCCAATTGTGACCATCCGTTAACTTAATCCTTTGGCAAACCGTCGAACCACTTCATGGCCGACTCTCCCAGGCTGCTAGGAAAAATGGTGCAAAGTAAGGGTTCGTTTCTTTGGTGAATGGTCATCCATTATCTATAATTCCTGATATGAGAGGCCAGATCGGTCTTTCCATCATAAAGTCTAAAATTTGGGACGACGAACTTGCTCAGGATTCTCCCATTTTCGATCCATGTAGTGAAAGGTGACGACTCCGAGCTGTCTCTATATTCTCCTATCGTTCTTCTGGCTAGGTCCCTTACCGATATCTATTTTGGTCATTTAAGACGGTTGTTGAGCTCCTTAGTGATGTATTGCTTCCAGGCGTCATCCTCCTAGATTCGAGGTTTCTTTTACTGGTACTTATCGTCATTAGGATTCTTGGTTCTGACATGGTTCTTTTCGAGACATTCTCGTTGGCTGTCTCTCCCTTGCTTATCTTTCTTGGACATCTCCTTCAGCTTGGCTTTCAATTCTTCGTTTTCCTTTATCAGGTCCTTTTTCCTGGCATAAGATTTTTTGAACAACTTGTCATGAGCATCAAGTCGGTCCTGCAAGGATTAGACTAACTTTGCCAGAGAGTGGTTTTCCCCCTCGGCACGGAGGGATTCACCACGGTCTTATCCACGTTGGTTCTGATTCGTGGTTCATTTGTGACGTGCTGAGGATACCTTGTCATCCTCATGGGGTCTAGATGGGTTTTTGTCAATACGTAACCTAGCGTTGCTATCAAATGGAAGTGATACAGGATTTGAATTTCCCATAGTGAAGCTGCCTACAGGCGATCCAATGGCACTTTTGAGTTTTGATATCGTAGCTTTTCTTTTCGAATGATGAAAATCTTCCCACAGACGGCACCAAAAAATGTAAGGCAAAAAATTAATGATATCTCCTACAAGAATGATGAATGGATGTCTTTGATACTGAGTGAATTCAGAACTTAAGATTCCTAATCTCCTTCTTGAAAAACGAGCAAACTGTCCAAGATCGAAGTGCTTCGATCGAAGGCACTCCGATGCTTAAGTCAATAACGAAATTGTAACGAATGGAAGAAGACAAGGAGAGTTCTGCGTACCTTTCACCTTGGTTTCTTCTGCTTTTTATAGTTGGTTATCTCATTAGGATTTTCATGATTTCTGATTCAAGATGACACACTTTCCTCCAATTCAGCAATGCAGTTTGGGAAGTTGTTGATATTTCTCCAACAATTCCTCCTGATATCTGCAATCTCGTTCATTCAAAATGCCTATGTTAAATGCTTCTCTTTATCTTTCTATCTTTTGTTTCAAATAGCTCGGTTATAGTGAAAGTCGAGCACTTGCCAAACACATTGATCAACTCGGTTTGGTAAAAGCCGAGCTCATCCATTCTTTGCCGAACAGTATTGGTTAGTTTGGCTAGGACCATTTGACCGAATAGTTGATATCTCCATCACGTGCCCTGTCTTGTCAATCTTACGTGAGCTTATTAAATGCCATAACACGTGTAATAATGGGGGCCAGTTACTGCAGTTAAATTTGCATATCAATAAATAGTATCCGAAAACTATTTTTTTAGAAGAGTTTTAAAAAATTATTGTTATTTTTTGTATTGCAAAACTTGTTTGGTTATATGATTTCAAAAATAGTTATACGAAATAGAAAACAATAAAACTTGTTTGGATAGTAACACCCATAAAACAATGAAAATAAAAATGTGGTGTTGGTGTAAGTATGGTGGTGATGGAAGGTGGCAGTGTAAGGGGGTGGTGATGGGAATGTGGTGGGGGTGGGTGGTGGTGGTGGTGATGGTGGGGTGTGGTGGAAATGTGGTGGTAGTTTATAAATTCTGGAAATGTTATTTCCAAAAAACAAATAAAACAGTCTTAACTTGTTCTATAAACTTAATCACTTTTTGTTCTTAATTTTCAAAAAAAAGAAACGAAAAATAGTTGCTCAAACAACTTTTTTCCTAGAAATTGTTTTTGAAAACAGAAAAATAATTTCTGAAATGTAAACTAAACAAGACCTAGGTTTTTAATTTTACTTTACTTGGATTCCTCGAGTTTTACCTAAATCCTACATATATAAGGTTCAAAGTCGCCAAGGACATGAATTTGAGAATCTCTCTCTCTCTCTGGTTTTGGTCCTTGTTTTGCATTTTGTAGAGACATGGTGAAATTAAGTTACACTCGGGCAGTATGCGATGACACTAATTTGAAAATGGGCACTACAACAAAATGGTTTTCGTGGGACTTATATTGACCAGCGAAAAATTTCTCGGGCAATTGTCAAGTATTCCCAATTAAAAACCTATGCCACAATCAATTGGGATACCTTTACCTGGTAAACTTCCCCCCTAAAAAATTCTTATTTTAATAGTTTTGCTTATAAAAGGTTTCCCTTTTAGAGGGTACCAGATTGAAAGCTCAAAAATCTACCAAAAAAAAAAAAAAATTGATAAAGAAGAATTTGAATAGTCAATATAATACTTCATTCATGACCTCCACAAATGTACAATTGAAGCAAAATACATCAACCATCACTTTTGTCCAGGTATTACGGTCTCATTGTACAAGCAGCCCTGAAAAACAAAATTGAACAACAATGAATCGTTTAGCTCATATGCAGCAAACCCTTTCAATAGTAATTGAACACCAATAGCATCTAAAAGAGGTGCAAAGGAAGAGGTGAAGTTAACTACAAGTATTGTATGCACGAGGAAATCAAAAAGACACAGTAATGTCGATGGACAGCCTGGAAGCAAACCACTAATTCACTTGGATGCATGGTTAAACACTAATTCACTCATCACATTAATATTCTATAAGAAGCAACACAGTAAGAATTAAAGAGATCAGAACCTTACGGATCTAGAATTCCCATAAGCCATGGCACTCTTAGACAAAATTCACATCTACTTCGAAATTTGGGCTTCAGAAAAGCTTTCTGTACCATGATGAGAAAAGACACATATAACAAATAATATAACTTACGAAATTATTGACAAAACAACAAAATGCATATTTTTATAGTCTTCAGTATAATGAAAGAACAAAAGGTCTGTGAATGAGACCATGAATCAACAAAAAATAATCAGTAATGAGACCTAAGCCAGAGGTGTCTTCAGTAGGTATCATGTGAAGAAATGAAAAAAAAATTGAATCAACTTGAGATTACAGTACTAGAAAGTCTATTCTTTTTAGACGTTTGAATTTCTCTTGTCAATTCTTACACTGCTTCAAGAGAATATACTTATTTTCCACTTCAATTGAAACAGAACAAGTCAAACCAAAACAACAACAATTATATTTGAACTGTATGTATAACTGATTATGTTAAAATTGTATGCCCTGCCCATTATCTGAAATTTCATAATCTCCTGTCATGATCAAAGAAACCAAAAAAAATGAGCTGAACTTATTATTCTCGCCATTCATAAGTCCAATCATGTCTAGCAGATAAAGAAGAATATAAAGAGAAAACAGAATCATACTGAAAAAAAACTGTTACGAGAGAGAGAGAGAGAGAGTTACCAGGAGGTGGACGGTTTCCAGGAATCTGAAAGCTCACAAGAAGATTCTGAAACATCTCGAGCTCCTCGATCCACCTCGCCTGCTGCGTTTGTAGCTCTTCTACCGTACTGTTCATTTCCCTCATCTCCTCTCTAAGCTCGTCGATTGCAGCTTGGAACCGTTGATTATCTTTCTCTGCTACCTCAGCACTCAATCTAGCACTCTCCTCCACTGCAGCACAATTAGGGCCAGATCGAGGGGTGCCATAAGCTTTCCCTCGTGTCCTAGTCCACGTACATATCCTGATCTCGTGCCGAGGACCTCACAGTTGTTGAATCACTCTGGTGACCACCATCCGACGTGGACAAAGTTTCTCGAGTAATGCTACTGATCAATTTTTTGGATCAAATTTGAAATTCAAATAATATGGTAGTCAACTTTAATTTTTTTATTTAGTGTCATGTAATTTAGGCCTTAATAAAGACTCAAAATAATATGATATCATGTCTTTGGACTTTAAAATTAGTCCCCAAATTTGGTCACATTACTGATGTTTTTTACATCGAATGAGCACATTTTTTAAAAGAAGAATGTTAGACAGATTTAAAAATTAAATTTAAAAATTAAATTTGATGATGTGGTTGTTGATGTATACCAGTCATGTCATCAGTTTCTTTTCAAAAAAAATAATTCAAATTTTATAGAAGAGATTAGATTGTACTCTCTCCATCGATCGACTCAAATCCTTCCCTTTTCCCTCTTCCCTCACTAACGCCTTCTCCCTTCCCTTTCACTAAATCAAACACCGCCGACCACGATCAACAACCATAGGATTTCTTTATGGACATACCCAAAAACTGGGCTTCACAACTTCGACGCCGACACCGACTAAGGACCCAAATCTAGCCTTTGAAAATCTTGCTGTTCACATGTTTTCTTACTCCACGAGGTCACGCTTCTCCTCCCCGCTTTACCTCTTCGCTGAAGTAGAGAATCGTTCGAAGCCTTTGGAGTAAGCAATTGCTTCGATCAAGATTTTTGTAAGTGTCCCCATCTCTTTTTTTTCTTTGTTGCTTTACTGTTACAACATATTGCTTTATTGTTATGAATTTCTCAAGCCTAGATTTTTTACTAATGATTAATTATGTCTATTGTTTTAGGATGTCTTAGATGTGAATTCATTGAAGAACTGATTTTTTAATAAGTTTATTGCATCCTTTTACTTTTTAATATTCTATCTATTTATTTTTGTTGGTGATTTTGGAGTATAAACATATTATTTTTCTTGTGATATTTAGGCATATATTGTGTTTAAGAAATCTTTGATTAATCAATGAGGCACTTGCTGGGGTTAATTTTTATTAGAATAAAAGGAGAATGTTCAAGTAGTTTGCAAATGATTGATAAAAATGTTGAGACTAAATTACAAAATGTGGTTGACGTAGATGAGCCTAAGGTTAGAATGATGTTTGAAAGTGAAAAAAAGTTGTTTGACTACTACACAGACTATGACAAGCGATTGGAGTTCCTAGTTAAGATAAGATCATCAACAAAAGGAGATGATGGTGAATTGAAATATTTGACGGTTTGTTGTTCTTGATCACGAAAGTCAGAGTGCAATTCCAAAAATCCTTTCAAACTGTGTCCAAACATCAGAACATGTTGTAAGGATAAGGTCCTAGCAATTTTATGTGCTGATAGAAAGTGACGATTGAATACTATCATACTTGATCATAACCATGAGGTGAGTCCAAGCAAAGCTCGATTCTTTCGTTGCAATTGAGTGATGGGACCAAATGTAAACATAAAGCTTGAATTGAAATATAGGGCAAGGATTAGAATAAATAAAATTTTTAATTCATTTGTGGTTGAAGTAGGGGGAGTATGAGAATATATATTTTTTAGAGAAGGATTGTGGGAACTACTGTAAACCCCCACACTCTTATCTTTATATAACAAATAATCATTTCTTTTGAAATGTTAATATGAAAATATTTGAGTAAATAGTAGTTAAAACTTAGTTTTAGCTTGTAAATATATGAAATTGTTGTAATAGAACTTGTACTAAATAGGTTTAACGTACAAATGTATGTGGCATATGTTTCGGATGGTTGTGGAGCGAATTGGAATGGGTTGAAAATGAAGAAGGAAGGATTTGTAGAAAAACAGGCAAAACTTTTCGGAAGGTCAAGGGTAAATGCTAATTCAGTGGGCAAAACCTTTCGGAAGGTCGATGAAAACCTTCCGGAAGGTTAAAATAATGTTCTTCCGGAAGGATAATGGTAAAGTTTGTCCAGTAGGCAAACCTTCCGGAAGGTCAATGAAAAACCTTCTAGAAGGTTTTCCAAAAATCTGAAATTTTAAGTCGCGAACAACCGGTCTTCCTTCCACTATAAATACTTAGGGACAACTCCTTTAGCCCCATTTCAACATCTCTAACCCTAGGAAACCTTAGAGAGGAAGAAAGAGAGGGAAAAACATAAGATCAAAAGGGATTTGCACATTGGATTGGATCAAAGCCTAAATTTTCAAGAACACCAATGTAGGGGTTCCTTCCTTTCTTGTTCATTGAGGCTAGGGCATGTATGTATATGTATGTTTCCACTCTTAATCATATGTATATGCTATGAAATCATAATTCCTTGAGATTTTTGCAATCATTACCATGCTTTAAACAAAGCTATGGTTATATAACCTTGAAATTTCTTTTCTTGTCATAAAACTCTAGTTTTCAAAAGAGATGAATTTTTCTCTTGATTCTTCATTTATTCTTGATTTTGAAACTCTAGTGCTTTGTGTTGAGTAATAAAATGGTATTTATGATGTTCTCTTGCTTAATTTTTTAAATTGTTCTATTGAAAAAATGCCGATGAAATTGGGGATTTATGATTTACTTATGATTTGAGAATTTGGTTGGAATTGCATCTCTTGTATGGTAGTTGTGATGGACTTGAATTGCATTCGAGCACTGCCGTAGAGTGTTAGAGGTTAGTCTATCCTAGTGGGGGTGAGATGGTTTCTTAACACTTGTAGTAGTTTGTTGTTTGTGAGAGCAACCACTATTGTTCACGTAAGTTCGAGGCTTAGGGATGGTATACCTTTCCTGGGAAGGATTCGTCAATGTCGTGAGAGACGGTATACACCGTTCCTAAAGTGGTTTGTGTGGTTATGATTGAGTGAACGAAGTAGAGTCATTGTGCAGATTCATGGGAAGCAACCAACATACATAAGAATATGAGATGACATTACTGAACGATTATTGTTATTGTGTGAAATTAGTTTCCTACAAGAGCTTGTGGAGGTATGAGCCTCTACAAGAACTTGTGGGAAATGGTTTATGGTTGGAAATAGTTTATTGTATCAAAAACGATTTTCTATAAGAGCTTGTGAAAGTATGAGATTCTACAAGAACTTGTGGGAAATGGTTTATGGTTGTAAATGATTTGTTATTTGTAATTTGACGTTATTACTTCACTTAATTTATTGCTATTGTGTATACTTGAGATCTATTGAAATGTTCTTGTTTTCTTTCAAAAATTAATATATTATATTTGCGAAATGAAACCGACTTGTTTTACATATTTTTTAAACCTTGTTTGAGTTTGGGAGGAATGTTGCTACAAAGTTTAGTGCTCATCCCCTACAAAAAATATATTTACAGATTACGTGTTAGATGAGGAGCTCAGAGTCGATGAATAGGTGCATTGGTAAGCTCTGTTAGACGGGCACGTGGAAACTGAGGTGAATGCTTAGGGCTATACTCTCCTAGGTGCTAGACTAGGAATTCATTTGAGACTCGGTGGAGTCTAATATTTTTGTTATTCCACTGCAAGTTAAATTTGATTCTTTTGGATGTAATTGCCATGGTTGGACATATTTTTTTGGGATGATGTTGTAAATATTAGATATGATGAATGTATTTTTATTTATTGATGGATTATATTAATTGCTCCCATGATGTGAATGGTTTAAATTGTAATGTCGTCCAACGTGATTTTTGGGGTGTTACAACTACATTGGAAAAATAAGGCATTTACAGCTTGGGAAGGAGATGCTTCTACGATACAGAATTATTTCTTAAAGATGCAAGGTGAAAATGCAAACTTCTTTTATGCAATGGATTTGGATGATGAGGGTCGGTTAAGAAATGTGTTTTGGGCTGATGCAAGGAGTAGGGCTACATATGAGGAATTTGGTGATGTTATTGCGTTTGATACAACATATTTGACAAATAAGTATGATATGCCCTTTACTCCATTCATAGGTGTTAATCATCATGGGCAGTCAACTTTGCTTGGATGTGGTTTGATCTCATACGAAAACTATTAGTTGGCTATTTCAATCATGGCTTACATATATGTCTAGGAAAACTCCACGTTCCCTAATAACTGACTAGGACAAGGCCATAAAGAAAGTAGTTGAGAATGTTTTCCCTAATGCTAGGCATCGATGGTGCCTATGGCATATCATGAAGAAATTGCTTGAAAAGTTGAGAGGTTATAAGCAGTATGAATCCATCAAAATTTTCTTGCAAAGAGTCGTTTATGATTCATTAAGTTGTATTGAATTTGAGGAAAGTTAGAATGGAATGATTGAGAAGTACATGCTACATAACAATGACTGGTTGAGTGGACTGTACAGTGAGAGGCGTCGTTGGGTGTCGATCTTTGTGAAAGATACTTTTTTGGTGGAAATGTCTACCATACAACAAAGTGAGAGTATGAATTCATTCTTTGTTGGGTATGTCAACTCTAAGACTACCTTAAAGCAATTCGCCGAACAATATGAAAATGCTTTGAAAAGTAAGGTGGAGAAGGAGAATGAGGTCTTTCTCTTTGCAAGTCCATTGTGTAACCTATTATGATATGCAGAAAAAATTTCAAAGGTATAAAACATCTCAAAATTTAAGGAGTTCCAAAGTGAATTGATAGGGAAGATGTATTGTGATTTGAGTTCGGTCAAAGTGAATGACTTGATTTCTGAATATGACATATTTGAGGATATAATGATTGAAGAGAAAAGAAAGAGTGTAAATTTCAAGTTTTTGTTTAATGAAAAGGATTGTGAAGTGATGTGCAATTGTCACTTGTTTGAGTTTAGAGGAATATTGTGCAGGCATGCCGTGGCAGTGTTAACGCGTAGAAAGATTTACTTACTTCCTAATAAATACATCGTACAGAGATGGAGAAAGGATGTGAAAAGATGTCACACAAAGATTAAAATTAGTTATGACTGCTGGAGTGTCACACCTGAAGCACAATGATTAGATAAAATGTTCAATGCTTTATTGAGGTTGTAGACTTGGCAGTAGATTCTGAA